TCAAGAATCACAGAATCACTAAGGTTGGAAAAGATCTTTAAGACCACCAAGGCCAACCATTAACCCAGCACTGCCAAGCCACCACCAACCCATGTACCTCAGTGCCACATCTACATGGCTTTTAAACTCCTCCAGGGATGGTGATTCCAGTATGGCCCTGGACAGCCCGTTCCAGTGCTTGACAGTGCTTTTGGTGAAGAAATTTTCTCTAATATCCAATTTAAACCTCCCCTGGTGCAACTTAAGGCCATTTCCTCTTATTGTATTGCTTGTTACTTGGGAGAAGAGACTGGTCTCCACCTGGCTACACCCTCCTTTCAGGCAGTTGTAGAGAGCGAGAAGGTCCCACCTGAGCCTCCTTTTCTCCAGGCTAAGTAACCCCAATTCCCCCAGGTGTTTCTCACCAGACTTGTGCTGCAGCCCCTTCCCAGCTCCATTGCCTTTCTCAGTGTAGCTGAGGATGGTTGTTCTGGCCTGCTGTGCCCCGTGGGCTGTAGGTGCAGCTGTGTTAACCTGGGAGCTGTTCTAATAGTGCAGCTACTGAAAGGTGAATGTTTTGGTTTCCTATTCAGTCTTTTCATTCCTTCTGTACAACGCTGTCCACTGATAGTATTGATAGTTCAGAAATCATAATAATGGTATCCTTCTGTCAATTCCAGATGGCTTTAAGGGTAATATTCTTGTTCTGATTTCCCAACCCCCTCTCCTCACATTAGGACTTGGAGGAGCAGAGCCGGTTGATAGCTGCTTCCAGCAGATCCAACCAGAGCAGTGGAGAAGGACAGTTTGTAGTCCTGAGCAGTAGCCAGTCGGAAGACAGTGATTTAGGAGAAGATGGAAAGAAGAAGAGAGAATCTGAAGCCTAAGGCTGCCCACTTCATTAAAATTGGAATCATGGATATATCTGGTGAAAAGGCACAAGTTCTACAAGAAGTGAAATGTAGGTGGTGGGTCTGTTGTATTATAGAAAAGACTTCTCAATATATAGACCCTATTATGCCTTGATTTTTATTTCTCAGTTAAGTGATTTCCATTTTCCTGTCAGTATAATTTCTCTTCCGTATGCCAGATGAAGCATGGTGATGCTGCCATGTTTATTACAAATTTATGTTTTCTCAAGGCTTCTCTGCAGTATGGAAAAAAAATGTGGGTTTTTTCCCCACTTACTTCTCTGTGCAATTAACTGCTTTTGAAGCAAAACTTAAGACTCCCCTTGGGCTTCAGCAGTACATGAAACTCGTTCTATACACTGCACTATGGAGAACACCTTGCTGGAAACAGAAGTGAATATAAGACAGTGCTAAGCTTTACCCAATTTGTTGCACATAACTGTTCTTAGATTTAGAAAGAAAAATCCTTATTAACATCAGTGAGATGTGCAATAGTTCTAGACAGAAGGATCGTTTTTGTTTCGTTTTGCACTGTATGATATTGCATTGGGGTCTCTTTGGAGTGAATATAATGCTGAAAGACTTCTTTCAACAGGAGAAAAAGATACTGTCAGACCTAGATAAGAGCTGATGAGATGCAGTTGAACTTGGCTGCATGAGGAAAAGCATTCCTCATCAAATTATAGAAGTAATGTATATAGCCTTGTAGCACAAGTGCCATGTTCTTGGTTTTTCCCCAGTACTTGGAATAAAGAGCTGTAAGCCTTTGAGTTCACTTTTATAAAACATGCTTAGAGTTGCAAGAACATTTGGAATTCCATCACGTGAAAAATCTTCGGCCTATGTAAATGCATTGATGCCAGTACACTACATCTACTGCAAAGGAGTTAAGGCTCTGTAAGTCTTTCTATAAAAAGTGATTTTGCAAACAGAATTTGCCATTTCTGAAGTAAGAGATTATGCTAATCCTACATCCCAGAGTCAGTCCTGGAAAGCATTTTTCAAAGCAGTGTCTGTTTACAGCTTGTAATCTGCACTCCATATTCCATACCCTGTGTAATATTTATTTTGTATAGTATTAGATGTGCATTCACCTTTTGATCCAGAAGAGAAAACTTGTTTGAAGAGAAATATTTATTTTTGCACTAATTACTATAAATATTAAAATCCAGTGGAACAGAAGATAGATAGCTCTCTAATAGTGGCATGAAGATAACAGGATATGTAGAGAGAGAATATACTTATAGTCCAAGTTATAATATAACAGTTATGAATGGTTTACAGTTCATTGCAGGGCATTTCTGGTGTTCAGGAATGGAAGCAATTTTCAGAGTATCTCCCCAGCAGCTGGTGATGGCCCAGCCCTTCATAGCTGGAGCTGCTCAGTGCTGATGAAGTCAGTGAGGAATCTCAGGTCACATCTGTAGGTGCACAGAGGGCTCTCCTTGCACACTGGAGTGCCCTGCACTGGCTAAAGCAGCTCCTCCTGCCCTTGGTGCTGGAGCTGTGACTGTGTGTGCAGGAGTTCACTGATCACTCCTGAGACAGGAGAGAAGGGCAGCAGTCCTGTCCTTGCAGCAGGACGAGCAGACAAGCAGGAGTTGGAGCAGCTCCCAGCAGATGTTGGTGGCACCACAGCCCAGGGAGGGCTGGAGCAGTCACCGAAGGGGTCACAGTACCTGTGACAATACAGGGGTCACAGCACCCCTGGCGTGAGGGGGAAGCTGAGCAGCAAAGAGCCTCCAGGTTCCCTTCCCAAGTTAATTCCCAGGCCCTGTTCCAGTGCATTTTTCAGCCCCAGAGCAGCCAGACACTTGCAGAAATACCTGCTATGGCTGTTGCCCAGTGAGGCCAAATGGTATTGCCCTGTGGCCAGATTTGGCTACCACACAGTCACATGGACCACACCAGCCTGAGGCTTCTTTTAAGAGAGTGGCATTTTTATTTCATATCTAGTATCCTTAAGAGACTATATTAATTCTTTCCCACAAAAATGTACAGAGAGGCTGCAAATCCAAATTTTTCCCATTTTGGGCCTAAATCAAGGCTTAGAGAGAGTGCAGTGCAGCCAGTTTGTCTCTCCAAATTATTCTGGTTCATGTTTCATTAGTTTGGGGGTTTTGTTTGTTTTTATTTACTGATATTTCTGTTTTCTATCAAATAATATCACAGGGCAGCTCAAGGTTGCTGCTATGACTCGTATCTTTCTCAAGTACATGCTGAAGTAGTTTAGAAACAGCACAGGAAGACTATGAAATCAGTGATCTCCAGTGTCTAGAACCCAGTCCTCATCTGGTCAGGGAAGGATTGTGTTAAGCACTTGAGCTGCAGTAGCCCAGGGAGGACAGGTAATAGATGAGCAGTCTCATGACAAAGCATTTCTGATGTGTAGCCTGTTCTGCATTAGCCTTATTGAAGAAATGTCAGCAAATGGAATTACTGTATTTTTTCTTGAAACCTACTATTACAATTTTAGATCTAAATCTGCAAAGATGAGGAAGAAAGGCAAATAAAGTAGCAGGCGAATTCACCACCGTATGGGATCTTTCAGATTCAGCAATACATGATTAGAATTATTCCATTTGATTTTCAGGCTTTCCATTGCCTGAAATGTAGTTTCCCATTGCCGTTAAATGTAGTTTTCTAAAACAGACAGCATAGGAGTGAGGTGCATTGCACTTGTGTTGGATGATTTTCATCTTAACCACTAGAAGAAGGGAACATGATTGAAGAGAGTAGTTAAAGAAAACAGATTGATCTTCATGAATGAAATGAGGGTTGTTTTTTTTTTGCTTATGTAGGGGAGTTTCACTGGTATAAAATGAGCAAGAAGGTCAGCAGAGGGGAGGAAGTCAGATGGGAATGGTGCATTGAGTTATCAGGGGGGTGAGAGCTTTGCCCAAGGGAAGGATGACACAGCTCTGTAATTAGAATTATCTCAAGGCAAAAATAGTTGCTGAGTTATTATCCATGGTCTCTTTCCCAAAATAAAAAACTATTTGGTACCTTTTCTTCCTATGAGGTCTAGAACTACTTCATTAGAAAACAGTTTTGTTAATTAAAAAAAGAAATCAGAATGCTTAGTATTTTCCTTGAGAACATGACTTTTAGTGGGAACACCTTGTGTTCTGCTGGGAACTGCTGTGGTAGGATTTCACCACCTGAGCATGTTATTATTGTGACTAAATTACTGGTTGATTTCCTCTCCTGTAATTTATTTCTCCTGTTCATTATTTCCTATTGCCTTTTACTCAAAGGCTGATCTTACAAGTACTTCCACCTGAAGCTGTAGTTTGCTTCATGTGCATCTACTATTATTTTAGTCACTCCTGAAAACATTCTTTCAAGTCCATGATTTTGAAGTGACTTTGTGCAGGTACTGATTGGCAGAGGTGTTCAGGATTAACTTGTTATGTTGCTAATTGCAGCCTCATAGTTCCTGCCACAATTTTAGCCCTTAGGTGAGGGGATGTTAACCTTGTAACTCTGTAGGTTTTCATGCTGCAGAACAAGCAAGTCTTGCTGTCAGCTGTTTCAAGCTACATACATTCTTTATGTATGGAATGGCATGTATATAAAACATATCAAGTGTGCTTATGGGTGTGCATTTTATTGCATTATAGATAATCCCTGGCACTCCTCTGTGGGCTCTGGTAGATGTGGCCAAGTCTAAAGCAGAGCACAAGGGCAAAGTCATGTACAACTTAACCATATATAAGTGGTTACAAGCAAGTAGTGTAAAGTCATTTGAATGTCATAGTCTTGCTTCCTTAATCTGTTTAGGTTTGAAATTGTATCAAGACAATTTACTATCTAACAGTAAAGTAATATTTCAGGGTTAAGGAACATTTCCCCTTATAAAGTTGTCAGATTTTCTCTTTATATGGATGTAAACTCAGAGCTGAAAATCCTGAAACAGCTGAAGCGATTTATGAAGCTATAATTTATGTACATTGATATAAAGAGGTAAATGTGACTGTGTTTATGTTTTAAGGTAAATTCTGATTAAGTAGTTGCACAGAATTTGGGAAGAGCCAATGGAGAGAACTATGTTAACGATATAGTCTCTTGTTATTTCAGAAATAAGTCACGTAGAGAAAGAAAACCTGCCACTGCTTAGTGAATTTAATAGAGATATTGTCTAGTCTGACAGCAAAAGCTGATATTTTATATTATTTCTCTTGATCTATATTACAAAAATTCTTGCTAGGTAATTAGTATCCAAGGCTTTTCGTTTTAATCAAGCACTAAGTTGCTTTTCTTTTTTCCTTTGCCACAGTGGTATCTAAGTTGTCATGACAAGAATAAGTCAGTGTGTCATTGTGAATGCACTTGTATTCCTAATGAACTTTGTATTGCAGACAAGGACTTTGTACAATCTTTCTGGTCATTTTTATAATAGAGTGGAGTGGTCAAATTCTTACAATGATGTTCTGGATTGGTCCTGTTCTGGTGAAGTGTAAGTGATTTTTGCAATGTTTGAGACTGACTTGCACATTTTCCCTGAATAGTTGTATTAAAAACCACCAATGGCATATTTATGTCAACTCTGATTGTTGTGTCTTAATCTTGGAAACATGGACAGTAACCCTATTGTGCCAGGGCTCCAGTCAGCATTTTGTAGATTAAATAAAAGCTTAACTCTCATAACTTTCTGGCTGGGACTTGTACTGATGCAAAAGCCTCCTGCATTTCTCATAATACTGACTTTCAGGAAGTACCATTACTGGTGACAGGATGTGTTCCCTTCCATTAAGCAAAGCTCTAACATGCAGTTATCTCCCTCTGTCATCAAGTGTAGCTCAGTTCTCTCCATTTCCATACATATTGCCAGATAACCTCAGAGGAAGTTGTTATACTCGGGAATGCTGATAACTTATTTTTGCAACAATCCAAGACTGAAGCTGAGGAGGAGCCATGGCAGGGGCTGTGCAGTGCCCGTGGTGGGGCTGTGGCAGGGGCTGTGCAGTGCCTGTGGTGGGGCTGTCACACAGGACAGTGACAGGCCCTGCAGAGCTGGTGTTATGGGAACAGCACAGCACCAACCTGGGTACTGGACTCACCTTCATGGGCTTCAGTAGGTTACTATATGATAAGCACCATGTAAAAAGCCATGGGTCATAACTACATTATGGTTAAATTTGTATTTTATAAGGTTTGTAGATTTTTCTGGGGAAAAGCAGACTTTTGAATTCTGTAACTTCCGTGATAAAGATGCATGTATAACTAGAAAAAAGAAATATATGCTTACTTGATAATGAAGGAATAAATACTACTAATGCCAAATGTGTTGAACTTCTTTTTTTTCTAAAATATGAACTGACATTTGCAGTACTGCTAGAAAGAACAGGTGTGCTATAGGTATTCCTAATACTTCTGTCAGACTTCCTAAAATAACAGTGCTCCGAAAGCTTAAGCTGCAACTCTATGGAGAGAAACTCCAAAAATTGCAAGCGTGGCTTTGGCCAGCACTGTAAAAGGAAAGCCTAGTTCTAGAGAGAGAGTAATCAAAGTCCACGGTGGATGAGACGTACCAGCCCCTGAGCATGAGCTGCAGAACAGCTTTCAGCAGTGCTGCCCTGTTGAAACACTGGTATGTCACACGAGCTGCTGGGATAAGCAAAGGTTTCTGTAGCTTAATCCCATTACATTGCCTAGAATGTGGGATTGCTTGATAGGGTGACCAAAAAAAAAAAATCTACTTGAGCTGGTCTTCAGAAGGTCATTGTAGAACCTCACAAATAAAAACTACTTCTTGTCAAAAGAAGAGGAAGTACAAGAGAAAAAAGAACTACGTCCCTTCCTGGTTTTAGTTAAATCTCTGACCTTTTACTAAACCCTGGGTTTAACCCTGCAGTGGGGGTAGGGTTATCTGATACAACAGGGTTTAACTGAGCAGTAACACAAGGATTGCAGCCCTGCATTTTACATTTCCTCAACATGTCACAGTAGGCATTTAAAATACTGTTGCCACAACTCTCAGGTAGGTCATATTCCAGGAGATACACGGAATGGGATCACCAATACTTACATTTTGGGGTTCTCCCCAGTTTCTTCAGGGGGTGAGAGGGGAATGCTGGCATTCCTTAACACATAGGAGATAAAATCCCCAAAGCAGCTGCACAACAGTCTTATCCATGATAACATTCCCTTCAAAATATAGAGCTAATACTTATGTACAGCTGAGGTTGTAGATTCCTGTGAAGTTTTCCTGTCCATAAAGGTCATATTCCTTGTACAGTATGTAGTCTTTCAGGCAGTTTGGCAGTGGAAGGAAGGTCATGAAGACAGGACAGCGGAGCCGCAGCCGGCCCATGCATTCCCGGATCTTCAGACGACAGAGATGCTTCAGAGAGCGAGGATTTGCTAGAAATGAGAATGCAAATTAAAATACTACCAGCAAAAAGGCCCCAGTCCCCAAATAGTTTGTTTTCATTTCAAATGTAAACAGATACTTACTTAAAATGAAATGGATGTCTGGCCAGAGTTTCTGTTCTTTGAGAACTGCTTCAAGCTTCCAGCAGATCTTGACGTGATCAACGTAGTCTAACATCACTCGCACTACCTTCCCAGACAGGTGCTTCAGCCATGACAAGGTTATCACTTCACAGAACTGAGAGAAAGAGAATGTTTAATGGGATAGTATTCAATACTGCTGCAAATGATTTCTGTCTATGCAGGACAAGAGCAACTGAATAACTTGAGGAGAAGCCAAGGCAGAACGAGTGTTCTGTCACTCAAGGGGCTTCGGAGGCTGTCACAGCTTGCATTAAGCCTCACCAGTAGAATCTGAAAATCTGAGAGATGGTTATTTTGTACTAGATCCAAAAATAAACTTAAGCAACTGTATATTTGGTACCTAAATGCTTAAAAAAAAGTGCTACAAATACCTAAGGGGAATTTAGACTCCTGTCCTAGCATGCTGAACAGGGGGATCCACCAGCCCAGTGCACCCCTCAGCCCTTTATCTTTAGTTAAAGAAGGGTTTATTAGTTTCAAATGGACTTTACAAACTGCTACTCAATGACACTGATGGGTGTCTCCAGGACCCTCTTTAGGTTGGTCCAGGCTTGTTAACTGCTGCTCAGTGCTTATCCTGCCAGCTCCTGGGTGTTTAGAACAGCCTTCCAGTGTTGGTGTTACCGTACAGGACAGGGCAGGAGCCAGCCTGCAAGTCCCTGCTCTCACGGCATGGACAAGACTGCTCTGGAAAACCAATGCCATAGTGATCATTAGATATCATAAGCTATTTTTTCACAAATCAGAAATACAGTTTGCAATCATTTGCTGCCATGAAGCAGGCCTCATGGCAACATCTGTTCGATTTTAAAGCCCTGTCTATTCCTATCTTTATGTATAAACTGCCTTACAGTTTCAAACCTTCCTTTTCTGACGCTGCACTACGTCCCTTTTCATTCAGCTTTAGGAGGGATACTGGTAGCAGCACAGCACACGGAGCCGTGTGCTGCACTCACCATCGTGTCTTTGATGACGGTGGAGGTCCAGCCGTCAGTGACATACTGCGAGTGGCAGTGGTTTCCCCCGGGGCAGTCGAAGCAGCGCTGCACGTTGTACCCGTAGTTGAACAGCATCCTCAGCATGACCTCGTCCTTCAGGGCGTACTGCAGCGCCGAGGGGAAGTGCGTGGTGTTCACTCTGCAGAAGTAATTCACGTTGGCCCCGTGGCGGAGCAGCAGGTTCATTAACTCGTAATTGCCCATCCTCAGGGCGATTTGCAGACAGTTGATGGGATCCTGGTTTGTCAGGGCTCCGGCGTTCAGCAGCAGCCGTGTGGAACAGAGATCCCCGTTGGACACAGCAAAATACAGGGCTGATTTGCGGTGGTCATCGTAGCCTTTGCGAACTCGCTGATCCAGCATAAAATTGGCATCAAACCCAGACTTGAGGAGAAACTCGAGGCACTGTGGATGTGCTCCTGCTGCTGCTGAGTGAACTGGACTTATCCCACTTTCTTTAATGGCAGCAAAATCAGTAACTGGAACTAAATATTTTAGGGCTCTGAAAAATTTTAAAAAAGAAGAATCTCAGGTTCTTAAACATATTGCTTCACTTAATTCATCTTGGAATTTCTCTGTGTTGCTGGACTTCAGAATTCATCATGACTGTAAAAATCATCTTAATCTACTAAATCAGTACCTTGACAAGTATTGACTTGAATTGCTAACAATTAAATTTCAATGGATACTCACTTAACACCTGCTATAGATAAAATATTATTCTATTATACTATAATAGAATAAAAATATTAATCTATATTCCATTTATATATATATATTTATTTCATTAACAACCCCATTCCTTGCTAGAGGTTTCATTTTCAATAGAAGCTTTTCCTAAATGTCAAGAGCACAGTATTATTGCTTAACCTGTAGGAATTAGGTAATTAATAGAATATACTATATTTTAACATGAATAGATATAATCTAAAATGTAATATATACATTTAAGTTTAAATATAACTTAATACATCTAAAATATTACCATAGGAATTAAGAATCCTCAGATTCTTGTTTCTCACTTACTGGTTGTGATTTTAGCTAAAATATCTTCCAGTAACCTTATCCTTAAATAAGGATAACTCTTATTCCTTAACTCTATTTGCCTATTTGGTATATTCACCTTGCTGCGATAGGATGGAAATGAGACACAGACCCAAAGAGAGTGAGGACATCCCAAGAACCTCAGCATCAGCCTGGACAGTGTTATTATTTGTGACAAGTAGGGAAATACTACAGGGATTAAAATGTTTAGGATAAAGTGATTTTACACTGACTGGTCTCTTACATTCAGACATAGAATGGTATATTTACACAGTCAAAAACAATTCCTTGTACAAAACTTCAGATTTACTGCCTGCTTTGAATGAGATAGGATTAGCAAAATTAATATTTCTGGTATCATTATTACTTGATTTTTAAGTATATTAACTCACAGAAAGTGTCCTCTATATGCAGCTCTGTGGATTGGCAAATGACCCGAGTGCTTTGGTACATTGGCATCAGCCCCATATTCTAGTAAAAGACTCACAGAATCTGGATTTCCTCCTCCTGCTGCTTCAAATAATACAGAAGCACAATCCATTGCCTGTGAAAGAACATCTGCACCTGGAAAGAAGCAGTGAGGATTTTCAGAGGAGTCACTGTACACACCCAGCCATAATGAATGTCTCCAACCCTCCAGCGATGGGTACTGGGAATTTTATTCTTCACCTAATAGAACCCATATGGGCACAAACCTTCATGCTGGATCCTTGATTTTAGATGTGTTTATGTAATCCTGGGAACAAGATGGTCCAAAGTGCTTTGAATACAATTACATGGTAAGAATTGCTGCTAGAACTGGGCCAGCAAGTGGTTTGGTTCTTATTCATCCAAACAATTGCTTTTTGGCTTACATAGAATGCTCTTCAAATCTTTTACTTTACAAAGACCAGACAGATAGAACTGTAAATATGAGAGAACTCAGTATCAAAAAGTTCATGCAATCCAGTTCCAGTGCTGCTGAACCACCATGTAAAATTCCCCACAATAAATGTTGTCAGGCCTTCTCTAAGGTGACCTGTCCACATGAGAAAACAATAGAGCATTTAAAAACAATTACAAATATAAAATATTTGTGAAATAAAATATTAATATATTATTTTAACCTTATAAAATGTGATTTTCATCAGGCCTTTACTTAACTACATCACAACAACCCTCTTGGTGCAGATAGCACTTAATATTCTTTAGTAAGGCGAGTTATTTCTGCTGCTGTTTCTAAAGGCATATCTTACAATAATCAGTTTTAATCCAATCACAGAACTTGCAGAAGACTAATAAAAATGTATGTAAATAGACTAAATACTTTAGCCTATGTATATGGGTACTGAGATAAGAACAATTTTTTGCCTCTGCATTCAGGAATACTTTCCTCTGCTGGGACGAGGACTCGCTTTGTCCCATTTGGGCTTTAAACATTTCAGTACTGCACGTGTGGCTCCCAATTTCTATTCACATGAAGAACACCACCACTGAAGCTATATGTTACTTAAAACAGAACCACAGAGTAGTTGAGGTTGGAAAGGATCTCTGGAGAATGTCCAGTCCAGCCCTGTGCTCAAGCAGGGTCAGCGACAGCAGGTTGCCCAGGACAGCATCCAGTCAGGGTTTTAGTGTCTCCAAGGAAGGAGATTCCACAAATCCGTGTGATCTGTCCCAGTGTTCAGCCACCCTCCCAAGACAGAATTTGCCAGGTTTCAGTTGGTGCCCATTGCCTCTTGTCCTGTTATTGGGCATCACTGAGGAGAATCTGGCTCCGCATTCTTTATTCCATTCCATCATTTATAACCCTGATGACAGACCCACACCCTGAGCCTTCTCTCCCTGTAAGATCCTATATTATAAAGTCTTACCTTTTTGCAGTAAGAGCTCCATAATTTCTGTGTGTCCCATCTGTGCAGCCAGTGCTAGAGGTGTGAGCCCATATCCACTGCGAGGGTCAGGATCCGCTCCAGAATGAAGGAGAAGCTCTACCAGATCCTTCCTGCCCAGTCTGGCTGCCTCGTGTAGAGCAGTTCTCTTGTGAACACACTGCAAATCCACTTTGGCACCAGATCTTATCAACAAGGAGGCAATCTCATAGGAATCCTGTTTAATTGCTGTAGCACAACAAGCAAAGCATCAGACAGAATGTTATTCAATGCTATTCCACACTGTGGCTTCTGCAATGTGGCAGCCCAGGAAAGCTGTTCCTGCAGTGCTCTTTATACACTGAGAAACGTCACCCTACACTGAAAGGTTTAACTTATCAACAAGTCTGTTCTTTGCTTCCAGGACAGCACTAACCACAAAAATAAACCATGTTATGGTAATCTCTCTCTGTAATCCTCTGTTGTGTTTGGTGATGGAACAGAACACAGCTTTCCTTACCACTAGATGGAGGCCACATCCAGGGCCTTGGTGGAGTCAGGAGCTGTCAGCAGAGCCCCATTTAAATTTCATAAGCAGTTACTACAATATGAAACAAAGTTTTAAATCATTGTGTCATATACCTTCTTAGCTTAATAAGCCTGAACTGTTGAGTCTGTAAGGATCTTAAAAGAGAAATTTGCATTGGCTCCAGGGAATGGAATGAATAAGCAACACCTTTCCCTCCTTCTCTCTTTGATCTTCCAGGCTGAGCAGGGTAGCAAGTGTCCTTGCTACCCTAAGACAGATTAGCATGAGAAGCTTCATATGCCACAGCTGTTTGAAATACCCTGACAGCATCCTGTGATATGAGCTGTGATGTGCCATTATCTGGAACCTACACAGCAGCTTTAGATAAATCCCATACATCCCCATCTTATGGGATGATGCATTTTAATATTGTGCACTTCAAAAATGTCTAGGAATTCTCTACATCTTTTCTAAGCAGGTGGCCCTGACTAGAAGCTTCAGCCATTTCACAGGGATAAACTGGGGGTCCTATAGATGGTTGGAGGCTTTTTTTCTTTAACAACAGTTTTGAAAAAAACCCTCTTCCAATACTGAAAAATGTACAGGTTAATCCAAGAAACTTATAGTGCTCCTTTAGAACTCAGATAATGCAAACACACTTCCAGTTTTTTGGCTAGGATTCAGTAAGAATTATGGCATCATAGCCCAAACTGAGGGAAGTAAATGAAATGAACACAGAACACTTTCGAAAAACATTTTGGCAAAATATGGTTCTTTGCAAATCAAGAATTACAGTTCTTGTGCATGATCCAATTGAAGTGGCATCCACACAGAGTGGTCCTGGGTATGGGACCCTATTCCTCAATTACAAAACATTAAAGAGAACTGAACTGAGAATTTTGGCTTCTTCGCTTGTCATGCTTGGATTTGTGCCAGCAAGGTCTAAAGAGGGCCAAACACTGTTTTGTGCTCTCCATACTGCAGATAAATCAGGCTGGTTTGCTTCATTTTTGGAAAATCAAAAGCCATTATCATGGGTTTTGGAGAAAGAGAGGCTGATGCAATGGAAGAAATACCATGTTGGGCAGAGAATAGGAATGTTTTATGCCTGCAGACATGCAGGGCAGTAATAGCATGAAGAAGGACCTGGTTGCCTGGCACCACTGCATAAATGATGCCAAGGAAAGCAGAGGATGACCCTCTGCACTTCATGGAGAAAGCTAATTGATTCATTGGGGGAAAAATGTATGTTCAATCTGAACTTCAAACTCTTTGCAACTGAGGAATGAAAGACAATAGGCATCTGGAGCTCTCTACATTGGATCAGACTTCATGGAAAGATATTTTACTTCTCCCACTTCCATGTTTATGGGAAAACTTAAATTAATAAATAATGCAAAGAACTCTGTGGTGACAGACCCTAACTTGGAACAGACAACTTATTTGAAGCCCTGATATCATCTAAGAAAAACAGACAAGGGCAGACACATTCAGTGCTGAGATTAAAATTTTTCCTTCTTATAGCAAAATATTTTAATAATAAGTCAAATTAAACCCTAAAATGTGTAAGTATGATCTCACCTATCTCCCTCACCTCTCCACCCCTAAATAAGGTATTCACCTATAACTAAAGGAGAATCTCCCTCTTCATTCTTAACGTTGGGATTGCAGCCATTGATCAGGAGCAAGCAGACGTTGTCCACAAAGCAGTTCCTTACTGCCACCAGCAGAGGTGTTTCCCCTTTTACAGTGGTCTGTTCCCACGCACCGGCATTGGAGGCTGAAATGCAGAACAGCAGAACACATTTGAATATGGGTGATTGATTAAACTCACTTTTGTAAAAACTTTTTGGTGGAAAACCAGGAGGTACCTCTGTACCTTTCATGGTTATTTCAAGGATGTTCTTATTTAGCTGTGCTGCAGCTTCGTGCACAGGAAGCCAGCCTTGCTCATCTGCTTCTTCAAAGGCAGAACTGTGCTTCACCAACTTCTTCAAGGCCTCTTCTTGGCCTGTGGTGTTTTAAGACAGACACATATCCCATTACTAACCATAAGACAAAATTCAGGTAACTAATACATTGAGTGCTGTTTATCCCATCAGTGTATCTAGAATAAACAACCTGCTTTGTCAGAGCAATTTTTTCTCAGAGGAAAGTTTACAAGAATGCAACAATCAGTGATTAACATTGACTCACAAAGCATTTTGAATTAATCATGGAAAAAAACTTACAATAACATTACTAAAATATTTCCAGTACAATTCTCTCGAGCAATATTGCATCTCATATTGGAATACCCTAAAGCTTTGCAGTTAAGGAACAGTATTGGAACACTTCAGGTAGAGAAAGCTTTTTAATCTGGGTATCTTGCAAAGTGAAAAATGTTATGAAGTATTAATTGACTAATAAATTTATACTTCAAAACTGCTTATTTTAAAAGAAAGGCCTGGAATTTTCCCCTAATTTCAGGAGATGAAGCACTGGAATTTCTGAAAAGGGTGACACTTGAACCCATCCCATTACCATGATCCTATCCAGTAAGTTAGTTTGGATGTCCTGGGTTTAGTTGTCTTATTCTTCCCAAGACTATATGAAGAAAAACTGCACTTAAATCAGGTGATCAAACACCTCAAATGTAGGCACTGCTCAGCAATTCCCAGGAGTACAGGCTTAGTGTGAAGTATTTGTACTTAACTGTCTGAATTGCTGCAATTATCTTTCCATGTTCTTCACTTGCAGTAGACTGGAAACTGCACAAACAGAACAAGAATAGAGTGAGAAGTAAAAATTAATGTGAAGTTCAGGATATAATTATACCTTTATTTAAATACTCAAGTCTAGACTACATGTTAGATTTCTCTAAGTTACATGAATTTTGTCAGGGTTTATCACATTAAAACAGTTTTTTGCTGGTCTTCCCCTAACACCATAAATATTGAATTTTTCACATAAAAAATTAAATACTAAGATGAGGGGAAGCTACCATATTAATCTAATTTTACATCACCTACTTATCTTCTTTATAAAGCCTTGTACTCCTTTAGATATTGATGTAACACATCATCTGAAAGGTTCATACATTCCCATATTTTCAAGGAAACAGGTATACTTTTTCATGGAGAACTCAGACCAAGTGAGCTACCAATGGTTTCCAGCACCCATGAGAAAAGGTCAGAGCAATCCAACATAGGGAGTCACAAAGGAAAGAAAGGTTACCACATGCTTACAATAATGCCAAAACCCAAAATAGAAGCAATAACTTATTACCTTTCAGCCTCTGTTGCACAGCCACTTGTTTCAATTTTATGCCTCTCTCGTAAGCTTTCCTGAATAGCTCGTTGGGTAGGGATTTCTTCATCAGAATTGTCATCAAACATATACATTGAATTATACATGGCAAACCAGCACAACCTGGATCACTTTGTGTAGGGAAACACTGCTTTTTAATTGGAAGATGTTAAATCCTCAGGTTCAATCTGAACAGAAACAGCAGTCACTGTTACAGTATCAAGAGAAATGAACACAGTTTAAAATAAATGAATTGGAACTTCCATCTCAAGCTGCAGCCTTCTCCCAAGGGTTTAGGTCTGCACTGCAGAATTATTCTATTTAGAACAGAGTAAAGGTTTTCTACTCCTGTAGCATGTCCCAGCTTTTTTCTCTGTTCCACAGACTGAACATACAGAATAGCTACTTGTTCTGGCGTTGCTTCCTAGAAAGCAACAAAAATAGGCAAAACTTTGCTTTTTAGATAAACAGCCATTCCCTCTAAGGCATTTAGACACTCAAATATCATCACAATCAAGCTCTGATGTTTCCTTAGTGGGAAAACAAATGTGCAATAAAACACAGGATGTTTTTCCTGTTTGTTCACAGCAGGCCTGGAAGAGAAGGGCAAGTGAAGGACATGAAATTTTTTAATAATAGCTCTTGTTCAAACTGTTTCAACAAAGACATTGTTAGGGCAATATCTGGTAGTCAGGAAAGTATTGCAGATTTGTGCTATTATGTGCACCAGCCATCCAACTGAAACAACATCAAACATGCTTGGAAAAACACCAACTTCACCACCTTATGTACCAAATCTACTGCCTTTTACAACAGATAAACTCACAATTCTGCCTCCATCCATGCGTGCCTGTTTGCTTCTGATACTTTAAAGGGATATATCCAAAGTACTGCAACAGTATATATCCAAATACAAGCAGAAATAAAACACACTGGTGTAACCACAATTGAGTTAATAACACACAAAAGCTTAAGAATAGCATTATTTAAAAAAAAAAACAAAAACCAACCAAACCCAAACCCAAAATCCAAACACATAAAACTTCTCCATATTGAAAGGGTTCAATTGAAGATTGCAAGACAAACAATGGAACATAGAATTAAATCCAACTGGTACTATATTAAGTCTAAATGTTAAAATTTAAGAAGAAATAATAAAAAATCATTAACGATCAAACTGATCACTAAATAGCATAATGGATGTAGATATACTCTGTTAAGCAGTCCCACTGTCCTTCTGTATATTCAGCTACATGCTATTATAGGTTAAAATCACAGATGGTCTGTTAGGCTCAAACCTCTCATCTGTTTTACCTTATCAAAACATCCACCTCTGTCTTCCAAGACAGCTGGCCTGAAAGAAACCCTCAAAACTACAGGGAAAAATAAAATAAATAAGTAAAACTGAAAGCAAATAAACAAATTGGCAAAATGAATGAGCACAGCAAAATTAAGGAAGTTGTCGACATGTCACTTACAAAGTTCGGAGTAATTCTAGAAACATCCTAAAGTTGGGCAGCAGTAATTCACAGCAAACCTGCAGCATTTAATTTGTTACCTGATCCACCTAATGTGTGATTGCAAGGCCTTGCTCTGTAATAGCACATGTAGCAAAGAAGAGAAATATTATTAGCAACATATACAGACTGTTAGTAATGGATTATACTACGGCACAGTGAGTACAGAAACATTTTAAGTCTAGACTACTTCGTTTTCACAAATTGACTACTAATTTTCCTATGAATTGAGAAAATATACTGTTTTTCCTCACCTTCTGAAAGAGGGAAGACCTCACACTTTGAAGAAGTAATTATTAAGTTGAAAGTGATATTTTCAGGATTGCAAATGATCTCTGTAGAGCCCATGTCCATTAATAGCTCCCTATAAATACCCGATCATGAGACAGGCTGGGACTTTGTCCATGTTTCTTTCACACAGGCCAGTAATGTTTAATAATCTGACCTGACAAATGCTATCAACAAAAGAAGGAATTAAAAGTCCAGTTTCCTCGTTAAAATTCTCATGTTTTTGGAATGAGAATTTGAGAACTATAGCAGTAACTGTTACATTATGAAAAGAAAATTCTTCAGTGCTGTTCTAAAAGAGAAAACTGAAGACAGTGTTAGGAGCTTACTTAAACGGGTAAGACAGCATAAAAACCAAAACCAGTAAAAGTAAACACAAACAAAATCAAACACAAATAAAATCAAGCCAAAATGCTATTAAAATTATTATGTTTCTGATTGCTTAGTCACAATTCACAGTAATATAAATAGAAAAGCAAATGAGAAATAAACAGAGTTTTTAAAAGAAAAAGGAGTTTCAGAAAGATAGACTTACACTGGTGTAACACCCAACAAAGGAAATGAGGGAATAAGATGCCCAGTTGTAATAGTGATAGCAGGATGGAGTTATTCCCACTGTATTTTACAGAGGGATCCATACAAAGAAATGATGATGTATCTGAATGCAAGGTGGAAAGAGTTCCTTGCTAGAGGAAATCTAGAAAGAATGCTTGAGTAATTTTTTTTTTATTTTTCAAGAAAACAAATGTGCAGAACCAACTTTATTGCCTGTAATGTTTCTCTCAGAAAGTGCAGACTACTTTCATATTCCATTAAGATACATTTTGTGATATTTAACTAAGGCATAAAACTGATGTTCACACAATAATAAAATTACCAAGGGCTAAAATCCTAGTTGTTTGTTTATAGATTGTAAAGACACTAATAATAACAACACATACTTAACTAAGACAAAATATTGAGGATCAGAAAGTATTTGTAACCCTCTTAATATAAAAAACTCCAGGTGTTTCTTTTACACACTGTGTTCCACTTCCTGTATAAGCCACCAAAAAGAACAGGATCCTGTGGAGTCTGGATCTGGAGTGCCCAGAGTCAGTCATCCAGCTGGCAGAGCAGTGCAACCCCTCTCTTGATCCAGTGCTGGACAGGTTTGTCCGTGTCGAGCGTCAAGGCAATGACGAAGTTGGTGGAATGACCAGTGGTAGACAAGACTCCTTTGCGCTCACTTGTCTTGTAGAGTGGGCAAACATAGGCACTGGATTCCTTTATGTCCGATTTTGGAGCTTCAAAAGAACCCCAAAGTAATCCATTACATTCAGCAGATCTATTCATACAAATATAATCTACATGCAAATATTAAGTATTTTCAGTAACATCTTTAAAGCTAAATAAAAATGCAAAATTGTTTTAACAGAATAAAATTATCCCACTTCTTTTTTTTGTGTTCTCTTGTGTGGTTTCTTTTGTTTTAAAATGCAACTAATTTATCCACAATTTGTTTTCAGAATTCAATGCCTTCCTGTGATTCTACCAGCTTTGTAATACTCAAAGAAACATTAAAATCTGCATAGTTACCTAGTTTAACCATAGATTATATGTGAGCTTTTAACAGCTCTACAAGAATTCTGGTCCAGCTGCCACAGAACTAACTGCAATTCAAGTCACCTGAGATCCAAGGACAGAACTCTGCAGGAACTCTTTGTATGCTTACATGGAACTTGTGCAAAGCCTAAAATCATGCAGGTCTGAGCAGATTCATCCAACCTCAAGAGAAAGCACAGGCAGAAAAAGTGGGAATTTTTAAGACTGCCTATTTGCTGACAACATCTAAGTTTTAACAGTTGCAGTAGAAAGTTGTGATTATGTGGGTAAGTAAAACAGGGATTTACTCCTGATCAAAGAAGACAAGAGTTGTGAAAAACTACTTACAAGCATGAGAGGCAGTCGGCATAGCAGCTAAAAATAACCTGAGCAAACCTTGCTAAATCACATGAGGTAAAATACTGAGTCTCTGTAAGTCAGTTGAAAGTTCCCCTCAACTTGAGTAGAGCCAGGAATTCAAGTACCATGTGCTTTCCTATCCAAATTAACTTTTTGTTGAAAAATAGATTGGGAGCAACTGAACATATTTACAAAAAATTCATTTAACTAGTCTTTTCATCTAATTCATAATTCTAAACATCTCTGGGGAGTGGGACAGGCCCAGGGCTCAGACAGGGTGGGACCAACTCCAGGGAGCAGGTCCCACTTTTGACAGGAAAGACCCAGGTCAGATGAACGTGAATTCTGTGCACATTTGGGTATTTGGGTGAGGACACTGATCTTCAGCAAAAAAGGAAACCACTGTTGTAATTTCTTGTTGAATAGCTCATATCAGAGAAATTATACTCACTTGGCTTTATCCAAATGATTGGCATGGCATCAAAGAGCACTTTGGGATACTGCTCAGTCAACATTCCCCTGGGGAGAGAAAAGCAACAAAGTAGTTATTTGTGGCTTGAGGGTTTTGGTGGGTGTTTTTTGGTTGTTGCTTGATAGGTTGTTGGCTTTTTCTTCCCCATATTCCATGAATGAGAGAGTATTTAATTTGGTGTGTTATTTCAGTAACGTGAAAAGTATCACTCAAAATATTTCAGCCCATCTTGTTTGAGCATCTAAGAAAGCTTTCCAGAACCACAGGAAAAAACTTGGCTACTGACTTTGTCCTGTCCCAGCGAGCTCCGTCTAAAAATAATCCATGGATATAAACACCGTCTTCTGGGGCAGTATCAGCAGTATCCCGAGGAATAACCTACAAGAAGCAAATTTTCCATGTTATTAAACTTCCCCTGCTCTTTGCTTTTTGAGGTATTATGCCATCAGCCAATTTTCAGATCAATCCAAATTGAGAATTCCTTTCAGTGCTACTTTTATTCAAAACCATAGAGAGCAGATTTCTGTGGGTTTGTTAATTGTCTTTACTGAGGTTATAAAATGAGGCTTGAATCACACAGACAAATATGAACCATATAGGCTGTTTTCTTGAGTGGAGGTCCAGGTCCAATGACAGAATTACTTTTCATTACTTGGAATATACCTCTTCTACAGATGTTATATTATATATTATATTATGAATATATATTATATATATATAGTATATTTTATCATATATATATATATATATATATGGTACCATATTTATATATATATATATGGTATGCCAACCTTACCAAAGAAATACATGTATGTCTTCAGACTGCAGTGAGTTAGTTGCAAAATGAACCTTCCAGTCAGGATTTCTTTACTACATCTCACCACAATGTCAGGACTGAGATTAATAAAATATTAATTTATAACTTTTCCATACCTGAAATTCATATCCCAGAAGGTCAATAGGGATTCTGTGTTTCCTAGCATAGTTTTGCATTGCTCCAGTTAGGAAAGCTTGAGTAAAATAGAATCCTGACAGCCAAAAAACAGGGGGCTTCCCTAATTCATACCAATCCTGAAAGGAGAAAAGTGACACATTCAATAATCAGAAATAGAAATCCCACACTCTTTGACAATTTTCTCCATAATTGTACTCAGAAAAATCTAAACAAAGCCTATCCCTCCTTTCCCAATAATCCTTTAACATAAAGGACAAATGATATGAAAAAGCAGATTAACTAATTGGCAGCCCTGCCTCTTGTACATCACCTGTAGAAACTTCAGCCTTGCTAACAAATCTACAATGTAGCTCCCTAATGGCTTTAGACTTGGGTAGGAATGTTGTGCCCACTTCTCAGGAACTTTTCCAATAAGGAGACTGCCAGACAGAGCCTCCAGCTCAGCATCCATAACAACCAGTCCTTTAATGGCTTTCTTCAGGTTAATTAGTGTAATACGGATAGTTCGGATTAAACTGGAATTAGAAAATAAAACATTTTTCACACGTTTTGCACGATTTGTAAAATATGACAGTGGCAATGGAAAGAAATTTTAAAAAAATGACTAAGGAATCATCTATAGAACTTGTACACCTAATACATACATACACATACCCACATACATATATATATACACAAACACATATACACAATTAGCCACATTTGTCAAGTCATGGATTTGTGCAGATTTATTTAAGACTAGGAACAGTAATAATTTCCTTTGTTATATCTGATATACTCTGTGTTGTTAGGTAAGAGGATAAATTTGGAACTCCAAATCTATCCACCATATACTAGATGAAGGAAAAAGGTTTAGATTCCAAAAGAAGAGGTGGGTAGGGTCTACAACAAGGATAACTTGGAGACTGAAGGCCAGAGAGAATTAGGGAGAAAATGGAGCAGGAAATGCGAAGAGACAAATAGAAAAGGAGGAGGACAAAGAAAAACCAGAAAGAAGGAATGGAGAGGCAGGCTAAGATAAGAAAGAAAATTAGGAAACAAAGTCAAAAAAGAGATCAGGGAACCAAACAGAAAAATGAAAGTGATTATAGGTTTGTAGTCCTAGGAGAGTAATTGAGGAAATAAGGTCTAGGGAAAAAAGGCATCAGAAAAAAAGGGGAGGGAAAAAGAAATTTTACAAACAGAAGTATATGAGAGAATAAAGAAATATACTGAAATATTTCCATCTATCAAGGAAAAGGTTTCATAAACTATAACTGTGCATGTATTACAGTTTCTAAACCCTTTACCCTACAGGTCAGAAATATGAGGAAAATAAAATATAATTGAAGATAAAGATGGTGAAAGGGAAGTTAAAAAAAAAAAAAGGAACATAAAAATATTGTTTGCATTCTCTCTTCCCAGAGCTTCCTCACACTCCCTTCTTTTATCATATATTTTTTCTCTTTCAGTTCATTTTGCCCCTAGATCATTTTTCCTGACAGCCATCCTACACTCTGACCTTCCACAAGGAGCAGTGGTGCTTGGACTGCAGATAGCACTGCAGACAATTAGAAGGGAACAAAATAAAGGAAATATTTCACACAACAGAGCCTACAGTGTATGATTCACAGGAAATTTTTCCTGCAAATAGAATTATAATAAAATAGAACATTCTTACTGGTTAAATCTTTCCATTTCTTGCACCAGCACAGTGTTCATACTTTCTTCATATCTCACAGGATATTTAAGTAGGCAATTTTCAATGTCAAAATCATTTGGAAGCTGTTAATGACAACATATTTGAAAATCATTCCATATATCATTATGCAATGGTTTTCATCATTCAAGGCATGCAAATGCAAATATTTGCAGAGTAATAATACCACTAAACTTTCTGAGTAGTATCCTATCAATACAGTATTCAGTAATTCAATCCAAATAAAAATTAGAGGGTTTTTTCATGTTCATCTTTTAAAAACCACTTAGAATTTTTACTATCATGAAAAGTTATGAATCTCATTCAATTTATTAATTTTAAGCCTGTTCATATGAATGAATCA